GCTTCTCTTAACATATCTGCTCAAAATTTGATAAAATACTGATGGTAGACTTGGGACACCATCCTTTAAGGGATTTCCTTTAAGGGAGGCATTGGGAATTGTTGGTAATTGTGTCAGGCAACCAACCTTCCATCCTACATTCTTTTAACAACAACAACAAAAATTGTACCCTGGAACAATCCACTTCTCTATGATTCACTTCCTTATCAAGAAGGTAAGAATATGGAAACGTTTCTAAGGTTCTCTGCAAGGCTGACAAATTCTTTTAACTAAGCACAGTTCATCACCCCTTTTTGCCCTCCTATAGTCACTGACAGCTTTAATTGCTTGGTCCCTGAGAAGTGAGCTTTGCCAAAATTTGAGGAAATAAATGCTTTTCTTATACTAAAGATCACTCTGATAATCAGCACAATTCCAAGGAATCCTGCTCTCCTCAAGTTCCAGACAACTTTTTAAGGATGGCTTTACAGTAACAAAGTCTTAGTATTAATCCATGTCTTCCCTATCATATTATTGTATACATCACACTTCCCTGTAAAGGGAAATTCTGATAAATGTCACTAATGATAGAATGAGGCTTGCTTTTTTTTTCCAGGCCTTTTTAGTTATTTCAGAACATGATAATACTAAAGTATAGGTTTTGTGCAAAGTGGTTTGCTTGCTGTGATTTTCTAAAGGAATAGTCCAAGAGTGATTTTCTGTGCCAGCTGGCACTAGATTTCAAAGTAACCTCAAGAACTCAGCTAAGCATGTTGCAGTTTCCTGATAATAAAAGAAAATGCACTATATGCTCACCTTCTTCATTCACACCACTGTTATCAACAATAACATCCATTATTAAAGTGAGGGGATTATAACATCCCCTAACAGCAGATCACAGCATCTCATTCATGTGAAAAGTATCAGCTCTGCTGAAAGAAAGCTTCATGGTGATCACCTGGTGGCTTTAAAATTTGTTATTTGTTATTGGAAATGAGGTAAAACTAGAGAAAGTATGTAGGAGAGAGAAGGGGGGAGGACCAAAGTTCTGTTTTTGCTTTTTCTGCCACTGACTCATAGTACGAACTTGGGTCAGTCACATATTCACACAAATGACTTAGTTTATAGATTAAAGTGAGAAAATGCTTCAGCTTCTCCATTTCAGTGTTAAGAGAATTGCTAAGATCACTTATATAAATATTTTTCTTTGAGCTCCCTAAAAGACAGGAACTTTATAAATATTTAGTATTATTGTTGTACCTTAGGCACATGTAGACAGGAAAATTATGATACTTCCAAGAAGAAATAAACTATTTCAGACCATCCGGGTTTATACTACGAGACTACATTGGCTCCTTCCCATATGTCTGCTAGGTTTTCTTTTTTCTTCACCCCTCCCTGCCCCTTGCAGTTGACTAATGTAGAAATATAAATAAACCTTAGCAACAGAGCATTTGGAGATGAGGAAGCTCAGCTTGGGTACAGTCACACTGGCTGATCGCAAGCTGTGTATCAGAATGGATGTGGAATAAAAATAAATATTACATTTCAAATCTCTGATTGAAGAGTGTGAGAAAATGATTCATTTTAAGCATGAGTAATTGGGTTGAATGTCCTGAACTTAAATTCCCACTGAATCTCTAGTTTTGTTTGCTTTGTTTGTTTTATCTATTCATTTGTCCCAAGGATATGAGGGGAGAAAAGAAGCTAGAATGTTTAGAGTCACTCTGTTTACTTCAAGTGGAGTCTTACAAAATTAATTCACTAGTTTCTTTGTAAATTCTTGCTCAACAGGCTGTTCCTCCAACGCTTTAATGGAACTAGGTTCTGTCTGGAATGATGTTCTGGGAATGCATACAAGGGTTATTTTTGGAGAGTGGAATTTCAGGTGATTTTTTTTTTTTTAGTTTACTTTCTTAGTCATACTTTTTTGCATTTCCTGTGTTTCTTTAAATTTTAGCAAAGTTTCATTTTTATAAAAAAACAATAGTTTTTCAAAACTAATTTTGAAGCCCCTTAATATTGATTTCATTCTCTGACTAAACTCTACCACTGAGCTACATGTCCAATCCTTTCTATTTTATTTTGAGACAGGATCTTGCTAAATTGCCCAGGTTGTAATCCTTCTGTCTTCTCCTTCCAAGTGTCTGGGTGGGCTTACAGGCATGCACCATAGACCTGATTTCTTCTCTCTCTCTGCTTTCCCCTGTTTCTCTTTAATTGACAGTGCTGGGATCTACTCAATGCCTCACAAGTACTAAGAAGATGCTCTACCACTGAGCCATATTACAAGTTCCCTTCCTGCTTCTCGTGCAAATTTAAGACAAGAAGTAATACTGTAATTGTTTTCTAAATGGGGCAACTGAGTCCCACATGCAACTAGAGTGTAGAGTTGGTTTTGATCTAGGGAGCTCAGCCTACAAAACAGACAAAATTTTCAATTTTATCTTAAGTTACCGGGTTAAGCCAAATCAATATAGAGTGGGTCTTTAGAGCATGAATTATGGTAATAATATTTATTGATATAATCGCAAGATGAATACTCTAGTCTTATATCTCGAATACTCAAAGCTAGAAGCAATGTCAGTTACAGCAAAAGACAATCCACACTCAGTGATCTTACTTGATAAAATAATTGAAACTATTTATACCTTTATCTTTGGGTTAGCCATGGGCAGTCCATTCTATTTTGGCTTCAGTACCAGTGCAGAACAATTAATCATATATGGGGCCTATGCTATCCCTCCATGATCCAATGTTGTTGAGATTTCCAGAAGGATCAGAACATGCATCTATTCACTCTTCCTACAAATATTTATTGAGTACTTCTTGTGTGCCTGTCTGTATTCTGGGCAATGGGGTTAAAACAAGGAACCAGATGTGGTCCCTGACCAGGAGGCTACTGGAAGAAAACAAGCATATAGACAAGAAGTGCAGTAAGTGTCTGCACGCCATATGTCTCTGGGACAGAACATTCCTGACACCATCACACAACTGTCAAGTGTGGAAGAGGATGGAGGGGAGAAAGAAAAAACATGGCAGAGCAGAAATCTGAAAAGGCACTGAGATGTGAAACAGTGTGGCTCTCCACTGAGATCCTAAAGGTGATTTTCATATGTCCAGAGGCCAATGGATGAGAGGAGAGTAATAGAAGGGAAAGCCAGAAAAGTAAATGGGAATCAAATTCTAGAAAGCCTGACATCATTTTGTTTTTATAAGGAGACAGAAAATATCCTGGTGGATGTGAATTTGAGGTTTACATAAGGAACCCCAAGAAGCAGATAATAGTCATTTATTGGTTCCAGGCTCCTGCATGCTAGGAATAAGGAAAGCCCACAAAATAGCAGGTTTGCCAAGATCACCTTGTAGTATCATGAATGCCCTGAAATTCCTGCCTAGAATAGTGAATGGCTGCTCAATATGAGCGTGCCTCCTCTGGAACCTCAACCCACACCTCTTGACCTCAGTGTCCCCCATTTTATTTCTTTCTCTCCACGTCCTTCCTTTGTGTCAAGGCTGAAGCCAGTGGCAGCAGTGGAGTTCCTAGTGACTATGGCAACCCAGTTCCAGGGCTGCCACCCTTGGGTTGCTGGCAGATGTTGCTGCCCCTGTTCCCAGTGGGTCCTGTTGGAGCAACAGCACCAGCAGCTCCCCTTATCCTAAAGTTTCCGGATCACTCTTCTCTGATATTGGTACTGTCACTGGATAAACATGTGGACCTTGATCCCTTCTCTCCTTGGGACAAATCCTTTTCTAGGCAAATTCCTGAAGCCCCTGGTGAGCAGATTCATGTACAGGTTGCCTTTTAGACATGGTCACATGTGATTAAATCCTTAGATTAACAGTTTAGATGCCTGCTGATGCTTTTGGAAAAATTATGGGGAAAGAAATTGGAAGATAAATCAGGAGTCAGAAAAAACAGGCTGGAATATGATAACTTGAGGACAGAGAATAAGAAGTATGGTGGCTTGTGCGGAGCTTCAAAATCTGAAGTAAATAGTAGATAGTTGTAGTATTCCTCTTATCCATGTTTTTATTTTGATGTCCTCTCACTTGTTTTTTATATTTTGTTGTAAGATACCTTATAACTATTTTTTCGAACGATGGCAGAGTATACATAAATGAATAAAGACGATCATTTACATCTGCCATATGGAGTATTCAGCATTCTCAAGCATGAGTGTTGTGTCCAAAGGTGGAAGCAACAAACAGAGCAACATTTTGATACACATGCCTAGGGCCAGAATTTGAAATATCAGAAAAAGAGGATTTCAAATAAAAATCAACCATGACCTACTCTGTGCATGACAAAGTAGATAGAATTTGTGCCATCACAACCAAACTGAACCAAATCAAAGCAAAACAAATCCAGGCAGAAGGCAAACATTCTGATGACTTGATGTGAAGAACAAGATTTGGGACCCCAAGGGCTAAAGCCTGAAAGAAATGCACTGGGGGAGGTACACAGCTTCATCCATGGGGACTTGGGCACTTCGGAATACAATGGTTCTGGAAAAATCCACCTCAAGGATATGAGGAAGAAGGCTTTCTCTCAACTTTCTCTCCACCACACTCCAGGGCAACCTCTTTGCTTATTCAACTCCTTCTTCCTCTGTTAAATGTTCTTTTCAATCCCAATTTCCCATTCTTTCCCCAGGAATCCCTACCCCCAACCCTCTTCTCCAAGGCTTTTCCCCAACTAGGACTCTCTCCTCCCTCTTTTTCCCTCTGCTCCTGGCCCCTGGTCTCAGCATTTGCCTCTTCCTCTCTTGTTTCAGGAAGCCCCTCGCTTTCCTTACAACCCAACGGGGACCAAGTCCCGGGTAGGGGGCGGCAGGTGGATCGCGGAAAAGGCCAGGCAGCACCAGGGTGGGTAGATAGGACTGGAGGGGACCTGACGCGCGGGGCCCGCCACCCGGGGCGGGGAGAGCAGGTCCTGCCCTCCCGGGCTGGCGCGCACGGCCGGCCCCAGGGGCGGTCCCAGTCCTCCCGCTCGCTGCTGCTCCTCATGCCTGCTCCTCGTGCCTGCTCCTGCTGCCCAGTGGCTGGAGCCCAGGTGCCGGCGGGCAGGAAGCGCCGGAGGATGCACTGCTGGCCGCTGTTCTTGCTGTGGGGGCTGCTCCCCTGGACAGGGGCGGGGGGCTCGGGCCGTTCCTTCCCTCACCACACAGTCCTGGACTCGGAGGGCAAGTACTGGCTGGGCTGGGGCCAGCAGGGCAGCCGGCTTGCCTTCCGCCTCGAGGTGCGCACCGCCGGCTATGTGGGCTTCGGCTTCTCGCCCACCGGGACCATGGCCGCAGCAGACATCGTCGTGGGCGGTGTGACCCACGGGAGACCCTACCTCCAGGTAAGAGAGTTCCCTCCGGCTCCCGCCCCGCCAAGGTGGTCCAGTCCCTATCCCGAGGAGAGCGCGGGTGCAGGCTACCCTGGGGCCACCGGGTCTCGCCTCGGGCGAGCTTGGAAACCCTGGGTCCCTGAAGCCCCGCGCACTCTCACCTTCGCGGTCAGGTTCTGCATCAGCGGAGCGGACGGTGCTCGCGCCTCCCTGGCGCTCTGCGTTCGGAGTTTTTGCCCCGGGAAGCTGAGCACTGTGAGCTCAGGCAGTTTTCCTGCTCTGAACACTTTCCTGCCCCAGCTCCCACTCAATAAATCTCCCACGTACACACCTGCCACGCAGCATCCCCATTTATTCCGGATGGGAAAGGAGCGGGACCCCCAACTTTGGAGACCTAAGGGACTGCTCTGGGCGAGGATCCGGGGAGAAAGCTTGGTATTTTGCGGTCTTGCTGTCTAGGGTTGGGAATCTCAGAACGTCCCTATTGCTGGCTATGTTGGAGCCTCCAGGCGCGGGGCTGATGTTAGCTACTTTATCCGGAGAGATTAGTAAAAGAAAGGTCCTTAAGAATCGCTTAAGGAAGTTTGTTATCCCAAGTGTTGTTTAGGAAACTGCAGACACCTTCATTATCTAAGATCCTCAGACAAAGTCCCCTATTAAGTGGTACACAATTACGTTTATTCTAAGAAGCAGCAAACTGAATTGATTTGCTTTGCTGTAGATTTGCTTGGGGGGTAGAGGGGGCCGTGCAGAAGCGATGCTGCCTATTCATAGGTGTCACTAAGCACAGGGGAAAGACAGATCAGAACGATTAGAATGACTGACTGGTTAGGTTTCCTGGACATCGTTGTTTGATCCTGACCACCTTTGGATTGTGGTGAATGTACACTCTTTGTTAAACAAAGGATCTCAAAACACTACCCTTTGTAGAAAGTCCATATGAAAATTTCAATTGTTCTGACACTGTCTTAAGGCTTTGATAGTATGAAAACCAATATTCCTGATGGATTTCTGAATATATTTCTCAGTAAATTTATCCCAACTTCTAAGTTCAATTTCCACTATGTGCTGAGGTGCCATCACATTTGAACCCCTGATCTTGACTTTGGCTAAAAATAAAGTGACAGCAATAAAATCTCAAAACCATCCTATTATCTATTTTTTTTCATAAATTCACTGTTTCCTCCCCAAGGAGCTAGTTATTCTACGACGACTCCAATAAAAGAAAGTTTTATGAGGACTGCACTCTGCTAAAGTCACTAATGTATAAATTTTCTTCTTCTGCACTATCTCAGGCTTTAAATTTCTGAACCAAGGATTTGATCCCCAAACATGGTCCTCATGGGCTGAAAGACTCACTCTTCTGTGATATAAAGTAGACAATACTTAAATACCCATTTTAGCCTATTGTAGGGTGAGGAGTATAAGGCCCAGCAACTACCCTTTTATGTTCCTAGAAGAGGGCATGAGAAATCTTACTATGGTAATATTATACAAAAAGGCATAGTTTAAAAGTTAACTTGCTATTATTTTTGTCAAAGAGTAGCATTTCTAGAAAGTCTACCCAATTTGATATCAAACAATTAAGAGTAAGATCCTGACTCAGCTTGCCTTAATGGAACCACCACAAACAGACTTTACAAACTGCAGAATATTTTCACATTGATGGTGGTTCTTTATAAAGATTGCATAAGACTCAATTAAGTGCTTTTTAGATTGATGTTGAGACATGAAACTTTTTTAAAAATAAATTGTTAATATATATAAATTGTGATTATATACCACTGTGACATAATCAAGAGCTGGGCACTTTCTCAATATACTTAATGAGCAAAGAAAAAAATGAATTTTCTTCTTTATTTTTTATTCCTCATGATATAAAATCCTTATTTTCATATAGAAATGATTTTTCTCACTTGACCAACATCCTTTACCTTTCCATTTCCTTAAATATTCTAGTGATTTTAAAAATATTAAATTATGCTAATCAGTTAAATGAAGGGTTTGCTTAAAATACTTAAAAACTCTGGTTACATGAAAAATACTAAATAATGTAAAATACAAGAAATATATCAATTCTAGCAGGATCATCCAGGCTATGTGATTCCATTTTTCAATGCTTGAGTTTTCTCCTTAGATACTGTTTGAGATTCTTCACACAATATGTGATAAGATCATCTTTAGCAACTATACCAAAAATAAATAGGATTCTTAAGTACAACCTATATGATTTCATTAGATGACTTTGGATTTTGTATAATTTTTCTCCCAGTGAAAACAGACTTTTTGTGGAACAATGAAAAAGGCTTAGTTCATGGGGTATCAATGTAAGTGCAGCAGCCACAGAAGGACAATGGCATCAGGCTATATGATGTGACACAAGTTGACATCCCAGTCATGCCATTTGTGCCTTTTCCACATATATTTTCTTTCATCCTTTTTTACATAATTTTAAACTTCAATTTCAGATCTTTTAAATTGTTCTTTTTCTTTTTCTAATGAGATGCACTAAACTTGAAAACTGTATTTAAGAGTAAATTCTAATTGATCAGGTAGGGAATGGTTGACTAAATAGCCTAAATGCTTATAGAGGTCAGCAGAGAAATGGGTGGCATGGGATTGAGTGGACCAGGCAGACTGCAACAGATAGTAGACAGCTTTGAGGGAAAGTTTTTGCAAGTGAGTTACTGTTATGGGGGAATGCAAACTCAATGTTGCCAGATTGTTTGTTTTATTTTTGAGAAAAGACAGAAATTCATATTGTGTGTGTGTGTGTGTGTGTGTGCGCGTGTGTTTGTGTGTGTGTATGTGTGTGTGAGAGTGAGAGAGAGAGAGAAGAGGGGAGGGAGGGGAGGATAGGAGAGGAAAAGAGAGGGCGTACAAGATAGAGAGAATGTAAAAATACTCTGATTACTAAATAATGACAATAATTCCAGTTTGTACAAAGTGTGAACAGTTGCGATATATCCCATAGACAATCTATTTGGGGGCCAAGATGAAAAAAGTTAAGATTAATAAAGAATCAACGCAAATTATGAAAACCCATGAAAGACAGAGAGGAAAATCCTATTTCTTTTTGGACCAGATTTATTCTGTGTCAGGAAACAAGTCCAGTGTCAGGGACTCTTGCCCATTATTTTGGCTATCGATTCTTGTATAATGAACCACACCCAAAACATAGTATTTTTAATATAGTGACCCTTATTTTGCTCAGGGGTCTGAAATGTGAGCATGGCTCGGTGAGGACAGCTCTTCTTTGCTCCAGTCTGTATTGACTCCAAAAGCAGTGGTTGAAAGTACCTGAAGGCTGCTCACCTGAATGTCTGACTGGCGGTTGATGTTCACTATTGGTGGGATTTGGGTGGGATTGTGGCCTCTCTATGTGGCTCTTTAGCATCCTCAAATGCACAGTGGCTGGTCCCAGGAGTGAACATTCCAAAAAATCCCTGGCAGAAGCTGAATAGCAATTGATGACTTAGACTTTGAGTCATACTGTGTGTCTTCTGCTCTTGCCACAGGCTCACCAAGTCAAGGAGCACAGACACCACCTTAACATCATGGGAATGGAATATGTTAGTGTGGCTGTCCTTGGAAAATACCTTCTATCACACCCATCCTTACCACTTGCCAGAGTCTCCTTCACACCACCAATTTCTAGTGCCTGTGTACATGTATCCATTCTCTTTCCATTATGTTAAATGGAGAGGCAATGTTTACTTATTCACTGGTTCCCCCCCCCCCATATAAACCCCCACTCTCAAGAGTTAGTGAACACATGTATAACTAATTAGAACAAATAAAAATATATATAAAATGAAAGAGTTGGTGAACGGTTGGTAATTTTTCCACTGCCCTATTCCCTACTCCTTTGGCCTCCTCCCCTCACGCCCTCCCTCCAGTAAGAGTTCTGAACTTTGGCAGCCCCATAGTTTTCAGTGGTGGCCAATCACTAGTTAAGGGTCAGGTCCAATGAGACTACCTGTAGAGGGCAGTGTGACATTTGCCTGTAAGCTTAAGGAGTTAACAAGTTTATTTTTTAAAAAAGTTTTTGTAGTACTGGGGATTGAACTCAGGGCCTAGCTGTAGCCCAGTCCAGGCTTATGGAGGTAAAAAGTCAGATTTTGAATTTCCTTGCATCAAGGCAGCAAACGTGGCCTAGAAGCCTGAAACTAGAAGCCTGGCATATTATGAAAATTTGCCCTGCCCATTTTATAACCTCTCTGACCCTGCCTGAGGATAGTACCTCTAAGGGTGGGTGACTAGGTGACATCAAAAGGGAGAAAAAAGAGAGAGAAAGAGAAAGATTCAGGTGTGAAACCTGTCTTGGTGTAATCTACCCAATACATTGTTCTGGAGCAGCATGGAAACTTCCCCTCTAGGATGCTGCGAAGGTCAGCCTAGATGGGGGCCTGGATGTGGAAAGCAATCTGTCTTTTTTGCCTTGGTTTTCTGGAACCTCACTCTTTTGTCACAGTGAATCAGCTCAACTCATTTTCCTGATGGATCCGTGTCCTTTCCTTGTTCTTTGCCCCCTTTTGTCAGAGCAACTCCACCCCCACCCGAACCATTAAGCAACTGTGAGTGCCCATTTGAGGCAAGTAATCTGGGCTATGAATGCCCATCCTGTGTGAGGGAGAGAAGAGAGCAGCATTGTGGGATGTGCCTGTTGAATTTGCACAAAAATGGATTCACCCTTCCTATGGGGGTATAAAGCACTCATGAATGGAGGCTGAAACATATGTCATCATTTGTTATAGCCTTGCTTGTTGGCTGTCTCAAAACCGGAACCCTTTCTCTGCAGAGAAGTGTCTTCAGCCGCAGAGTAATTGCTGCCGGGGCTACTCTCTGAGGAAGTGCTGGGAACTGATTTGAAATCACAGAAAACAGTGAGCATTCTTTGTGGTTAACGATGTGCTTCTTTTAAGCACACCCCAGCCAACGGCAACAAAGAAATGTTTGCAAAGCAAATTGAAAGCTGTAAGGGAAAGATGAAGAAAGTGTGCAACCCTGAT